TTTCGTATTCAAAATTCCCTTTCTTTTTCTTGATCGTCACACTTCGGTACCTGGCGGATCCACAATGAATCATAGGCGGTCACCTTGCTGGTGACTCTAGCCAAAATGGGGATCCAATAGAAAAATAGCAACCCCTTCCGGGTCTATTTCCAGAATTTCGCAAGAACCAATCCGCGTTCTTCACCCTCGCCAAAAAATTGTATACAAGATATAAATTAAGCTAAACGGAAAAATTACAAATCAATACACCAGTACACTTTCAACAAAAAACACGTTTCTCGGTAAAAATTGTAATACCGCGCTGCAACTACAATATTTATATTCTTAAATTGAGTGAAGGGGTAACTGTAGTTATATCTTGCATCAAACCCCCAAATATTCAAGCTGCTATTAATTTACCGCTTGAAGCGTATCGAGTAGAGTTTAAAATAAAACACATAAATACTACGTGCGCGCTGAACAATGGGATACACGAAATGTTCTGTCAGATAAACGTAACGTGCAATTCTTATTCTGAAGCTATTCGAATGGTACGACAGAATTTTTCTCGTGTTTTACAGCTCTTCAGGGTTTTTCGTATGATAAACAGAGACACTGTTATCTCATTCTTCGATATAGGATGTTCTTCGTTTTTCCAAATTGAACGAGATACACACAGGTATATCGTTTCATTTTTAGATAGCCTCGTTCGAAACATTTTTTCCCTGCTTTTCGTTATGTCGATCAAGAGTAAGAGGTATTTATCCGTTTGAGTGCCACGAGCCTTTCTTGTTTCCCGATCGAAAATTGCCAAGCGGCGCGATAGCGCTCGTCGTATTCCGCGTCCAAAAATGCCAAAGAGCGCGATTGTGCTGTTTTCAGCTTACATGTAATAAATATTAATTTTATCTTTTTTCACTTGAGACTCAAGGGTGACCCTAAAGTCGTGCATCGAAAAAAATCGACCCCTCTGTGATTATGAGCGCTGGCGCTTTTAGGACAGGGTAGAAGAAGCGCGATCGCGCCGCTTGGCACTCGAACGGTTATCAGACGGAGAAGTGAAAGAGGATGTCGAAAATTGTGCTAGAGTCGACTTCTATGGATAGGAATCGTTTTTCATTGAACTTTCTGAATTTTTTGTCATCTTGCAATAAACAGGAATAAAAATTAGGAAAATAGAGGGGTTAGAGCAACCCTTGGGCCTGAAAATTTGACCTAACTTTGGCATTTTTTTTTAAAGAAAATACATTATAACACATTACCCTTGAAGAACGCAAAAGTATCTTTTCATTTAATTTCGTTGCAAAATTATTTGGACTATATTTTTAAGTTGCACTATTTATAAAATTTATATTTACAAGATCGAACATGTAGTTGCGATATTGTCGTTCCGAAAAAATTCATTTTGCATTGATTTGTCATATCGTCTTATAATTTCTCTCTGCAAGCAGATATTGCAAATATCATTTCATTGCAAATTAAAAATCGTTTCACTGCAACATTCTGCTGGCGCAGAATCCTCGCCTTTTCCTTCTTTCTTCACAAACTATAAGGTGACATTTATAGTTACATTAAAACGCGTGTCGGTGAAAGTATGACATCGGCAATATCTCGATTAGTGTCACCGGTGTAATTAATTGCTTAATTCCTGTTACGAAAAGCCATACCGCAATCCTTACATATTCATTCGGACGAAATTTCTTATCAGTTTACAACTGCGTTCGCCGTAAAATAACTTGAGTGTACGCGGTAGACGTTAATGACACATCTCTCGACAGAGTGTCCGAACGACAAAAACTACGAATAACCGAGTGACACACGATTAACCCAGTTTTGATAGAGTACCGAAATAATAAACAGCCGACGTTTAGACGCATAGATCAGAAGAGAATCATAGGTTAAGGTGTTGGAAAAAAGAATTTCTGTGCATTGTTTACATATTCCTCTACCATTGACAACAGAAACGTTTTCGAAAAAGGGTTGTCGTCAGTTGGAAATAAATTCCCGAAGAAGCACTGTTTTCCGGCTGAAGGTAGCTTAACCCCTTTAACGTTGTCGTTGAATCGCCGCGCGATCTGACCTCTCATGACTTTTATCGATATCGTGCATCGTGTGAGGCGTGGAGGAAAATTTTGCGTAGGTAGATTCGCGGACGCAACTAAGCGTGTAATACGTACCTATCTGCGTTCTATCAGCCGTACGTTTGCTCGTTTTCCAGCCTGCCTTCTCGGTTATTGCCTACTTACCGTTACCCGTGTAATATCTCTGGATCGTTTCATCAAATCAAAGACAAATTATCGCCTCCTTCTTTAGAACCGCCTTTTGTAATTATTCCTACCGGTGCTCGGATTATTGCACCATTACGGATTGCAACACGACGATTTTTCTAATATTTTAGCATTCTACTTTTTCTCTTACGCAGAATCGATTGCTCAGGTTGCTTACTTTGTTCGATGTTACGCGCGGTAGGAATTCGTTTCGTTACTCAGCCTACGCTTTTTTCTCTTTGTTATCCTTGCTTAGTGGCGTAGAGGTGATTAGATATTGTGCATAAAGTGGCTGTAAGTGGATGTTTCCTTTTTTCTTCCTTTGTTGCTCCTCGTTTTTGATATTAATAATAGACGCTTTGCTGCGTTTCGCAGTTGACCGAGTGCTGATTTAAACGACGCGCGGCGGAGTGTTTTATTTAAAGAGCTGATCGAAATTCAGATTTTTCAATTTGAGTGAATACCGAAAAGTGTTTTTCTTTTTTTGTTGTTAGTCAATGGTTTAATGACCTTTAACCCTTTCGTTGCTACTGGCGTCTATAGGCGTTTTGAAAATTTCGAACACCGTTGGGAGCCTTTGTCTCAATTTAAACGGTTCCATCTTAATTTAAGAAGCCGAATTTTAAAACGATACGATCGAAACAACAAATTCTGCAGCTATGGTTAAAAATGTTAAAATGCTTGACGTCTCGGACGTCATTGTATGTCAAGGGGTTAAATTGCTAGCCGTAAGAATTCACCTGACGTTGCAGATAAGTCTTCCTAATCTTTTCCACCTAATTTACATTTTTCTAAATTTATTTCTTCAATAGCAATTATACCTGCATTAACACTTCAAAATTTGTTACCATTTCTGCCTCAGTTGCTAATATTTGAATTAGTACTAAACTTTAACCCTTTCGTTGCTCTTGGTGTCTGTAGATAATTTGAATATTTGCTATATAACACTGTGCTTTTTGACACACGTTCACCTTAATTTGATCCCTAATTCCCGCCCGTTGCGCAGTTCCACCTTAATTCTCAAAACAACAAATTTGAAAATAAAACTTTTCAGAAAATTAAAAAAAACGCCGAAACGAAAGATTTCTCGGCCGCGATTGAAACCTGCCGCAGTGAGAGGGTTAAGAGTACGAAGGACTCTCGTGCCTCATTTTCGACAGATCGCTCACCGGCTAAATCTCGGTATCAGGTGAAACAGTTAAAGTGAAGAAGGAAGAAAAAGCTGAAGTTTCGCAAATATCCGAGAGATTTATTTGCCAGGCGTAGCGAGTGGAATATTAAAATAAGTGCACGCGACGATGAATTCGCGTTTTACGGACGGTGCATATCTGTTCCTTCGGGTTTGCTCCTCGTCGTGTATCCTTGACCATAATTGTCCTGCGTCCCTCTTCGTACGCATCGCGAATTCCGCCAGACATTACAATGCAACACGCGATAGGAGACGTCTCACATGTCGATAAACGAACGCGTAACGTAGGTACACGCACCGTGTGCCAGGGCGTAGCGTTACACATCGTTCGTGACGGGGAAAGATAGAGAGAGAGAAGAAAAAAATGTACAATAAGAAGTTGGTCGAATGCGTCGACGTGCGGCAATTACCGGCAGAAATATAGCGTGGCGGGAGCGAAACGTTGCGAAAATTGCCAGTTATTCGGCAATTACGCGGTCGCGCGGAATAAAGCTTGAAAAATTTCTCACGTACTTAATTACGCTTCTCAAAGCGCTCTAAGAGTTACTCACTTTTCGAGATCTCTCGTGCGACGTGCACGTTTTACACTGTCAGATGTGTACCTTATTTGTTAGGGAAACACAGGCCCCTGCGAATACTGCGAGTTTGCAATTAAACACAGCTTTACGTACGCCGTTTCTTTCGCGTTTGTCGGAAACTTCTGCGGATTCTAAGATGTACCTTTTGTTGCAACACTTTGCACTCGAAGCTTTTTTTTGCAAATTGGAAATGAAATTTTTTTTTTAAGCAACAGAAATGAATATAGAAATTTTTAACAAATGGCGAACAATTTATGGAGAGCCGTAAACTTGCTGCTCTGGAAAATCTCAGCTTGAAATATTGAATTCATAATACAAAAGCAAGAGCTATTATGGAAACGTCGACTTTTTCTTTCGATAAACTTGTAAAGAAAAAGTATGAATTTGGTTAACTGAAGTAGACTTGTTCTTTTCAGACCTCGTAATGATATTGCGCCTAGGTTCTCTAAAATTACAAACGTGGCCCTGAGTCTAGTCGTGAAATAACAATGTTTAATTTATAACATATTTACAAATCTTTTATTCTGTTATAATAGGAAATATTTTGCAATACGAAGCAAACACTCAGATGTCATTTTTAATCGATTAATTTGTTCGTCGTCGCCGGCTCCAAAATTGCAAACATTAGGCTACCGGAAACAGCGATTTCTTTCTTATCAACCTAATGATATTTCGAGATTAATTAGAAAGTTGTTTGCGACTCGTTTTTTATCAACTTTATTATGTCACAAGCAATTACAGGAGAGTATTTATGACGATCTTAGTGAAATGGGACACGATAATTAATATGAAATTGATCTAAATTACCTATCAGGGGAACTTATGTAGAACAATTGCAGGATATAAATTGTATTGAACTGCATAATTATTGATATTAGTCTTCCTTTTTTTTTACAATATAGTATACACATGAAATGGATTTTACAAGAATAGAATCTCATCACCGAAACAAGTGCTATAATCGCATTTTGCCCTTTTCTGTTTCAGGCCTAGCCCGTGTGAACTACAGGACCCACTGTGGGTCAAAATGAGTGCGATTACTGGCAGCATCACCAAGAAGAGAAAGAAATCAGATGCCAAGCCTCAGTCGCAGATGTGAGTAGAAATTTCATTTCTCTTTTTAAACGTCGAACTCGCGACCTGTGTGTGATTGTAGAAAATACACAAACGATCAAAACTAATATATCTAAACGTGTAATAATTAAATACATCGTAAACTATTAAAATTTAAATATACAATCGATAACCTTTCCCGTTTTAAGCTTCAGTCTCGACGTGTAATTACACAAATGCATAAACGCTCAATAAATGTGAACCGTTCATAGGCTAAACTGGTTAACTCTGTTTTTTGAATTTTTTCAAATTTTCGCGCCAAAACACTTGATCGATGCTTATCTTTGTTTTATTTAATATAAATCTCCCGAATAATTAGTCTTAACTTATCTATTCATCTCAATTGAAATACTTCTGTCTAGAAAAAAAAGCTACAATAATTACGTATATAGTAGTAGTAGTACCGTTTTATTCAGCCTTACAGCCAAGAATTGGACTTGGTTTACATATCCTACGTTTACAAATCTATCTTGCCCACACATACGGTTCGTTCATTCTCTCTCTCTCTCTCTCTGTCTCACTCACTCCTGTTCTGTCCTACTCTATTCTTACCCTAATCATTGCACCTTTTCCTATTCTCCTCCGTTTGGTTAAGCTTAGCACTCTCTTTTCCTCTCAACTTTTCCAGCCATGCTTCGACCTTTCTCTGTAATTACGTATGTATCTTCTACGTTCAATCTTGTACGAGAAATCGTAACGAATCAATTAATACGATATTTAAAAACTAGGATGAAAATTGTCTGCTAATTATTTCACGTCAATATTCGTCAATATTCTAACACCGAGCTAACCTGAATTATTTACGATTTCTACGTGAGAAATTAGTATACGATCTCAAATCACTGTGCATATTAATCAGCCAACGGGGAATGTGAGAAATGTACGAAACGAGCATGTTGCGCTATCAATATCGTTTTACCATCAGACCACCTAATGAGTCATACCGACACATTTACACTGATTCATACGTAGATAGTAAAGCAGTCGAATTGCTCTGGCCACGCGAGTATATTCGGTTCCAGTAGCCTAACTATAACTCAGTACACGTATACACTCGCGTTCGTAAATATTAGGACATTCGTTGAATACGAAACAAAGCTGAACAGTTACTGCAATATTATTAAGATCTTGAAAAATGAATCGGTACGGACGGTAGTTTCTCTTTTGATTCGTAAAGCTGCGTCCTCGTTGAAGCAACTTTTGCCGCTGCATGTTGCAAAACATTTCCAGCGAACACCAATTTGTAGAAACATTTAGAAGCTACATAATGTGAGGAACATTTGGGCTTTGTTTCGGTTTCCAAACTGCTAACGATGATCGGAGAAGATTTACTCGTTGCAATTGCTGCATTTATGTATCCCTTTGCACTTGGGAGCGTTTGAACGTTTCGTTCCGCTAACTCGATAATTATAGGCAAAATTTAGGAGAAAAATTGCACAGTTGTCTGTTTGATATGTGTAAGAAAGGTGAGATTTTATCAGTTATATGTCAGTTTGTACGTTTACATTTTATAATCTTCTGTGCCAGTACAACTGGCATACTGAGTGCAAAGGGTTACTGTTGCCAGTGGTAAAAGAAAGAAGAAACGACAAATGTGAACCAAAGTCACGGAAAAAGGAAACAGTTGCAAAGAGGCAACAATCAGCGGCATTTGTTGCTGGCAGGAGAAACACGAAAGAAACCCGGAGAAAAATTCGGCTAAAAACGGCGAACATGGATGAGGAGTTCCTCGTTGTTTGTTCAGTGAGGACGCAGCTTAAGCTTTCACATCCCTCTTCGAGGCGTTCGTCAAGTGGCCATTAAAAATGCATCCAACTCGGAGGTGAATCGGATTAAAGTTAATTCCGCGCCGAGTAATGTCATCCGAGATTCATGGGAATGTCTTAATAATGTCGTGTTTGATGCGTTCCGAACGTGCGGACGAGATTGGGATCGTTTAATAAGGACGGATTAACTGGGAAGGATTCGTCCCCATTAGGCGCGCGATAATTTCGCCGCGTAATGCGTGTGCTTCGTTGATCGATTAGTCGATCGTATTTCATATGTTGCACCGTGGAAAACATCTTGCAGGGTATTGCACAGAGTGTCCAGAAACAGGGCCAAACTTGTACCACGTGTTAACCCTTTGACAGTCTAATGAAATTATGAATTGCGGCAAAAGAAGAAATTTATATTTCACACGTGATTTTTTAATAATTACATCGTGAGCGATCATTCTTAAAACAAGGGACACACAGCCCTAGTTACGACAACAATATCTCGTCCCTTTTCAACCTTCTTCCTAAGAGTGTCTCTTGAGCTAAACAGTTAAGTATTTCACGCTTTGCCCGAGTCTCACACGGGACAAATTGTCGAAGGGTTAAAACCTTGCCCTAAAATGACGTCTCCGTGAGGTCATGCGATTTTTGCGACGTTCGTGGACGTCCTTTGCAGAGTGACATTGCTAGATCTCGAACAAAGAAACGGGGACATTTTCCAGAAAATATTTCACCAACTGCATAAAAAGAAAACATGCTTGAGAATTGCCATGTGTGTTTCACGCACAAAATTCGAAAAGAAACCACCAAATACCATTCCATTTACCTGAACGTTTTGAGAAGAACCATACTCAGCAAAATTATTGATAAAATTCTAGATTCTTATCGTTTCATTGTAAACTGACATATGTAACAGCAATCTAACCATTTTGCATTGATACGTTAATTTTGAAGCAATACAAATTATTTTATTTTCCATTGTTGGGTATACAGAGCGTCAACCGAAATTAAATATATCGTTCAAAATAAGAGTAACCTCGCTTCGCGCATGGGACGTGCCTAAGGCAGGGCTAGAACCACTAGAACGTCCAAACCCCCCACTTAACCGCCTACCTTTTTCTCCGTCTTACCATCTGCTGCGCACTCTGTCTATGCGCAGAAAGGACGAGAATCGGCCCTAGAGCGAGGTTACTCTTATTTTGAACGATGTATAGTATGTTTTGGTCCGAAAAATTGAAGTTAAATCGTAGGGCAGGGGGTTAATGAGGTCGAGTAAGTAAAAAATGTTCGTATAAACTGATGGATGAAGGCGTTCAACGATTTGTATCAATTGTTAATGGAAATGGAAGAAATTTCGAACGTTTATTATAACTGCCGTAGCAATTATATAAAAATCTTTGAACGTTTGTAAATTTTCAATGAAGCATTTTCGGACGTAAGTTGGTAGGAATTTGTTTTTTTACTTACTCGATCTTGTTAACACGTGGTACAAGTTTGGCCGACCTAACCTCTTTAGACACCCCGTATACTTACACTCCGCGAGAATTTTTATTTTTGTTTCCATTTTATTTCGCCGCAGTGCGCGACAAAAAGCTTCCTGGAAATTACTTAGCTGTGTATTACGAACGCGTGTGACTCCCAAAGATTTATCGCCGTGTCGCGAAAGCAGTATGTAAACACTTAACGTCAGATATTTTTTCTTCTGGGTTGTTTTAGTAGACCGCGCGCGACGTGAGCACTATAAGAAGCACATCGAACTTGGAATATACAGGGTGGAGCATAGGAACCTGCCGATTTTTGAAACGAAATAGAGTTTTTTTTATTTTTCATTTGTTTTTTTTTTCGTAGGCGTTTTGAAAATTTACTCATACGGTACTGCAGTTCGCGCCTTTCGGTGGATCCCGATTTTTTGGACATTTTTACGTCGATGTACGTTTTCAAAATAAAAATTTATGCAAACGATTTGAAATATTAAAGCCTGTGAACGTTTTGGTTGCCTACACAAGGGTTAATGCGGAAATCGTCAGATTCCTATGTCCCACCCTGTATACGATGTCGTCGGTTGGATCTCTACGTTATCGACGACGACGTGAAAAGTAATTGGTCGTAATTAGCGGTCGTAAATTAGAGTAATTTCCAGCCTTTTGTTTAAGTATATGGGTGGATGTTGTTTTGTCACGAAATCTCTTCGACAATGTTTCAGGATTAGCTTCGTTCGAGAATCCAAACAGTGTACTCAAAAATGCATTTTGAAAATGCAATGTTCAGCAAATGAGATCCATTCGCGACTTTCCAAAGGTGAATTTTCATTAACTAAAACGTGATTGAAAAATTCGATTCGTATCGATAGAAATGAAAAATATACACGCAGAAAATGAGTCAGAAGGTGAAACTTTGAGGAGATATACTTCTTTGAATGTAGAATGTAGAACAAAAATGACGTGAGATGACTTCAGGTGCCTTAGAACTACGGTGACCATACGTCATTTATTTAAGAAGACAGTCTGTTCTTTAGATTTCTTTATTTCTAACATGGTCATTTTGTCCTTTATTTTGTGAAAAATGACGAATCCTGCCAACGTAGACGGGTTGAACTTTTTAAATACTTCGCAGACAAAAACGTATCTTTTTAAAACACTTTAAAAATCGTTGAACTTTGCTTATGTCTCTGAACGAGTATTTTCATTAGTGAACAATCTGTGGACCAGTGAAAGAGACCCAATTAAATATCGAAACATCGAAACCATGCATTTATAGTAAATGCAATTTCCACACGAATCGTATCTAGTTTTATGAATTTTTAAAAAACATAACCTAATCTATTAAAAACAGTTCGTTCTCGTTAAAAGTATCAAAATTAAATATTTTTTAAACATGAAACAATTTCCGATTTGTCCTTCATTTTCTCCATAAAAATATCCAAACTCTTGCATAGTAAAAGTTATCTACGAAAAGTACCATGAAATACCGTAAATGTTGGTACGTTTCATCGTGATTTCTTTTTTTTTTACGTCAAAGGGAGCAGAAAGTATTGCCAAAAATCGCTATTAAACTCGTCTGATTGATTATAAACGAGTGCACACGCTTCCGCGTTTTATTCGAGCCCTTTGCATATTCATCGGTCGCATTATACGCATAAAAGCGGCTGTAATTATCGGGCTAAATGCGATAAGTCAAGTGAGTGTTTAACATGCAGCTTGGGCCCATTTTAATTTGATACCTATC